ACCATCAGTGTAGAATGCTTCTGTTTTCTTCGACCTTGATGTTGCCTAAAAGATGGCAAGCATAAGTAGATAACTTGTAACGGATGCAGGATGCTGCGGTACAACCTTCTCTTGTAGTTGTCTATTTTGGAGGAAACGACTCAATGGCGCCTCACGCTTCTGGTCTAGGTCCTCACGTGCCACTTGCTGAATACGTTGATAACATGAAGAAGATTGCTCTTCATCTTCAGGTTACTTCCTTTCAGACATTTATCTTTCAATCAATCTTTCGTCATATCGCCTATGAAGACTTGGACTAAGGCTTATCTAGATTGTGAATGTCATCATTCGCTTCTAATCCTCTATGTTCTGTTTCACCAGAGCCTTTCAGACTCGACACGCATCATATTTCTTAGCTGCCCTCCTGTTGACGAGGCCAAGGTTCGTCAGAACCAAAGGTAACTTCCCTTAACTTCTTCACTACCTCTCTGTTGCTTCTTGTGCTTATTTACTCTTTTGACTTTTTATCTCTGTCACAAGCCCATACTTGAGCGAGGTGATCCGTACGAACGAGCTCTGCAAGACTTATTCAGACGCTTGCGTGGAGCTGTGCCAAGAGCTCGGCTTACAAGTAGTTAATCTCTTCTCCACTCTCCAGAATGCAGATGACTGGGAAACCGTTTGCTTCACGTAAGTACTATTCAGAACTTCACCGTGTTCATCAAACATGTTCTTTGACTTGACGATGTTGTGGATTTTTTGGACAGAGATGGGATACATTTGTCAGCACAAGGAAGCAAACTGGTGGCTGCAGAGATACTGAGAGTGATTAAAGAATCTGAATGGATCCCGTCGCTTCACTGGAAATCGATGCCAACCGAATTCTCCGAGGACTCTCCTTATGATCTTGTTTCCGCCGATGGCAAAAACACCGTTAACTCCTCCGAATGGACTTATTTCTGGGAAGAACAATGGGATTAAACTCAACATTTCAACAACAACAACAAAGACCTTTACTGTTGCCTTGGCTATTTGCTGAGTCTAAGGTGTCTTTACTGTGATAAGATTTGTTTACAAGTTTTTCTTTTTGAAACTCTTTACTTCTTTTAAAAGTGTTTGTTTTCGTCATGCTTGTACGTTTCATACAGCAATCAAAGAGACTCGGAGTTTGTGCTTGACAAGTTTCTTGAATAATTTAGTACTAATCTCCATCTATTTACTTTTTACGTTTCATATCGAAAGTTTTACTTCGGAAAAAGTCTTCAATTCAAAGTTGAAATCTGAAATCTGTTACATGGTCACACATACATTACTCTATCTGATCAGGATTCAGGAGAACTATAAGATTTGGTTTAATCGACACTAATTATTGAAAAGATCAATGATGAAATGATGAAAATACTGTAGATTTTGGAGATTGGGCCCAATAAGAGATTCACAATAAAATTATTTGGATTAATTTGGGCCTAAAACCCAAACTAGATTTGGAACATGTATAAGGGGACTCCGAGATGAATAGCCTTTACCTAAAGCGACGTATCTTCAATTGCCAAACCTTTTCGCTGACGCAACCAAACTCCCAAAAATCAAAATAAAAAAAAAACTCTTTTTTCCTCTCTTTCTCTCTCTCGTTTCTTCTTCTTCCGTCCACTTCTCCTTCTCCTTCTCTCTCCATCTCCTTCCTTCTCTCTCTCTATCTCCTTCTCTCTCTCTATGTCCGAACGCATCGGGACTCAGAAACCATTGATGCCGACCTCGATCCTTCTCTAGTAGCAACTGATCTATACGTTTACACACACCGTATATACGGTCTCAAAAATACTCGTATCTGTACAGCTATGGCCGCCGTTTCCTCTAACCCTCGCACCGTCGAAGAGATCTTCAAGGATTATACCGCTCGTCGCTCCGCTCTTCTTCGTGCTCTAACTAAAGGTCTTACCCAAATCTCCCATCTCTTGAAATTTCCCTAGATTTCTTCGTAATGCCTTTGGCTTTTCCTTAACCCGTTTCGCTTTTCTTCGTTTCTTTCTCCAGATGTCGATGATTTCTACTCTCAATGCGATCCGGGTAAGTCGGGTCTAGCATTTCCCAGAAGAAAAGTTTTGCCCTTTTTTCGATTTGGGATTTATGCAGAACAAAGAGACCTAATTTTCTCATTTTTTTCAAGAGATTTGAGATTCTTCTGGTTTAGATTCCAAATTGGGTTTGTTTGTGTGTTTGTGTAGAGAAGGAGAATTTGTGTTTGTATGGACACCCAAATGAGTCATGGGAAGTGAATCTACCAGCAGAGGAAGTCCCTCCTGAGCTCCCTGAGCCTGCGCTTGGTATCAATTTCGCCAGAGATGGTATGCAGAGGAAAGATTGGCTTTCGCTTGTTGCTGTCCACAGTGATTGTTGGCTCCTCTCTGTTTCTTTCTACTTTGGTGCTCGCCTTAATCGCAATGAGAGGTATTTTTTTTCTCTCTTTTAACCTTCTTTTCACAACTTTGATTCACCATTTTTCAGTGTTTTGAGTTTTTTTATTAACCCAAATCTTGAATCTCTACTTGATTTCAATGGATTTTGTTCTTCTTACATGAATCCATAGCTCTTGTAGCCCTTCACTTTATGTTTTCATGTTGCTTGACTCATATCTGTAGACTTTTTGATTGTTGCATTACTTCATCTATCTAAACTTTTCTCAGCTCTTTCTGGCATCTTTGGATATTGTAATGGCAAAAAGATTGAAACTTTTTTGTTGAAGCGTGTGATGAATTTCACCGTTTCATTGTTACTTCTGGGATGCATTGTAATAATCCCTAGAACTTTGCTGAAAAAAAGATATGTGAAAGTTGCATATTGACAAAAAAAATGCTCTTTGATTAAGTACTAAGGAGACCATATCTCTGTTGTATATTTCTATAAAACAACCGTATCTTGGTTATTATCTTTTCCACTTTCTTCTTCAAGAGAGACGCTGTTTTTGGCATTCAGGTGGCTTACGATTATAGGTTCGTGAGGCTCGACATTGTTTTACTTCACCAGTAGTTTCATTATACATGAACAACTCTCTTAAGTGGTGGCTTCTCTATCATTTTAGTCCTCTCTGTCTTAGTTTCAGAAGGGTAGTAAAAAAGCACATTGTAGAATCTAAACCTACATAGTTAGAAACAAATAATGTTAGATAAACAACATCTTACAGATTCAAATTTGGTGTATTGATATGAAGATTCTGTATCTCTTTGTTTTTCAGTGTCCCAATCAAGTTTGTAGCTTCTCTCATGTCTCTTTGTCCAATGTATTGTCTACTCATGGAGTTTCATGCCACATAACTCATATTTTTCAATTTGCAGGAAGCGGCTATTCAGTCTGATCAATGATCTCCCAACTCTCTTCGATGTAGTGACTGGTAGGAAACCCATCAAAGACAACAAGCCAAGCTCAGATTCCGGAAGCAAATCCAGAAACGGCACTAAGGTACATAAAAAAAAATGAATCTTTTCCTTTTTTTGATTTGTAGATATTCGGATATCTCTGCTTAAAAACAACAGCGGGTTTGTTGCAGAGATCAATAGAAGGGCAGATAAAGAGCTCAACACCAAAACTGATGGAAGAGAGCTACGAGGAGGAGGAAGAAGAAGACGAGCATGGAGACACACTCTGTGGAAGCTGTGGAGGCAATTACACACAAGATGAGTTCTGGATTTGCTGTGATGTTTGTGAACGTTGGTACCATGGAAAATGCGTGAAGATCACTCCCGCGAAAGCAGACAGTATCAAGCAGTATAAATGCCCGCCTTGCTGTGCAAAGAAAGGAAGACAGTGATGATGATGATGATGATGATGATGATGATGATGATGGTAATCATCTCCCAGAGACTGGTTTCTCATGTCTTAAAACGATATATTAATCAACCTTTTTCTTCTTCTCCTTTCTTTTTTTTCCTTTAACCTTTTTAATTTTAAAAGCATACAAGACTCTCTCTTTAGATCTCCAGAAAGGGATTTCAAGAAGTTGAGAGAGAGTAGCAACTGTTTGAGTACTATTATTTATATAAGAAACTGGTTTGTTCCATCCATCAAATCAAAATGTCTCATGGGATTTGTATATGTAGTCAAATCTTAAGCATTCAACTGTATTTTGCACTCTACGTTTAATCCCTTTTTTGGTCTTGTTAGGTCTTTTCTTTTTATTGAAAAGAGCTTTTGTAGGTCAAAAAATAATATTTAAGAAAGAATGGTAAGAGAAGACGGTCTCATCTCACAGTCGGCTTTGTGATTGATAACCATACTTAGCAGTACGTATTATGTTTAAATCATTCATTATATCAAATCATCTCCAAGTTCAAATCTAATCTTTTAAAATAAAATATTGGAGGGCCAACGAAAGAGAAGCCTCCCATGATGAGGCTAACAACATCCACAATACACAATTTTTGGTTTTGAAGTGTTATGCGTCCAATCTTTTTTCTTAACCGTTGATTAAAAGCCCTCAAATCCCAACTACATTCATTGATACATATATTATAAAGAACTTGAATCGGATCTAACGAAATTTTACAATATGGTCAACACGAATTATCCATTATACACACATAAGTTAAAATAAAGTGTCATCAACTACATACTGGATATTTATTGCGTTCACATGTTCGTCATCCGGTATGTAATGCTACTCTTTTTTTAAGAAGTATATTGTCGGGTAGAGTAGTTGCTTAATCAATACATGAAAAACTAGTACCAATAAGCTGCATTATTGCTGTTATTACTAATAATAGAGGAAGCATGATTATTGAATAAAAATGAATAGTATGCTTCAACAATCCCGGAATTAACCAAGACATCATGTGATATTGAGGTTTAGCAATTATACTAGCTATCTAGTTTCCTATAAATTGATTTCTGCTCTCAGTCAACTTTTCGAATATAACACAATACGTTTAGGCATTTTGATTGATTATTGGCAAATCAAATAAAATAGTTATGTAATATGATAGAAAAAAATTACTACATTTTTTATTAAGTTTACATATAGTAAAAGGAAAATATCTAAATTGCATAACGATAAACGATGATTATATCCTTGATCGGTATTTTTATTGGTTCTTTAATATTTTACGTCGATCTTTCGAATCTCTCCGTATCTCTTTGATCTTTTGTGACTTCGATATCCACATCAGCTAAACCTATAGTCAAATGAGAAATCCTTCAATATACAAAATGTTTGCTCAAATAAAAGATTAACTAATGTATATGCACTAGTAAATGAGTTTGAATAAACAAGGGAACTTACATTTACTTCTCTTTTACGGGACATTTTCTGAAGTATAGCGAGGGGATACATGAGACTCAACGTAGGATTTGCCACGTGGACCTTGCGTTCTTATGAAGAGTCTATATTGATCAAAGGTCATGGGAGGATATAAAGGAGGATTACTAGAGGATACAAGTTGCTGCATTGGTTGGATAGGAATGTCACTCTTAGGGTTATAGAAGAATGCAAGTGAAACCCTTTCTTTCTGCGAGTTTACTATCACCCGATGTTCCGAACTCTTGTATATGGAATTGCTTATTATCTGCAATTTTGACAAAATGAAATTTGTTTAAAAGTTTGTTTAGCGTAAAAAAAAGAAGATTACTGCAAAGCTTCTATTGCATAATTAGCAGTGTACTTCAACAAACGTTAGATCAGTAACCATAGCTTCCTCAGAGATGCTCGATTTGTGCATGCACTTTCAAAAGCTACCTGATTAGTTTTATTTTTTTCTTTTTGGTTAATGACTACTCAAATCGTTACAAACCACAAAATGTCACTTATTGGTTTGTTTATCTAAAATATCATCTTGTATAAAATCAAATCGTTTGATGTTATGTAAGTGACATGTGTCGTTAATTGTTTTAGAAAAAGTCTTACAATTTATTTTCAGAAATTTGGCATAAAGTTGAAACTGATTGTCATATTAAATTTTCTAATACATGTCTAAAACGTGGGATTATAACTAGGATCCTCTTTCACCAACTGTGATAAACATAATTAATACTTTTTGTCAACATTTCATTCATATTCTTTGCTGTTTTTGTTTAAGAGTATATGTGTGGTAGTTAGTAAAACCTGGAAATAAATAACGGAAAATAACAAAAATTAAAAGAAAACTTAAAATTCCAAAGAAAAAACGTTGCCTGAATTTGATCACCAAGATTGACGATAAAAGCGTGGGGAAGAGGATTGACGGTGATCCACGTGTCGCCGTGACGGACTTGAAGGCCGACGACTTGATCATCCGGCAAGAGGATGGTAATACCGCCGGGATCGGAGTGAGGGGAGAGGCCGAGGGCAAGCTCTGGTCGAGGGCATTTCGGGTAATAATTAACCCTCATGCATGCGCCTACGTCTTCTCCGCCAAATGCTTCTTGAAGTTGTTCTTCTTTTAGTCCCAAGTTTGACGATAATACCTTCATAAGTCTCTCGCCTAGCTTCACTAGTTCCTCACCGTACTCATCCATGAGTTCCCTATACGTAACATCATTGCAATACATGTTATGTAATTAAAAGACCAGAATCATATAATGATAGTCTTCTTAGTTTTAATACACAAACAGAAAAAGTCCAACTAATTTTGACTATCCCAATAGCATTCTCAAACTTCGCCATAAATGATCCGGTCTTAATTTTAAAATAAACGTAGCTAGTTCACAAATGAATTATAATATTAACTAATTACCTAATGTTGGAAGGTAGAGAAGGCCATTTATTGAGATCTTTCAAGAAAAGAGGAAGAAAATGGAGAAAGTAATAATCATTCCAATCAAGAATGGCTCCTTTTTCCACACCCAATCTGCTTCCGTAACCTTCATAGGTCTTTGGGGAGTTTGAGTACACTTCTTTGGCTTCGATAGGCAAATTGAAAAACATTCTCCAAGCTTCTCTCGCCGCGTCCATCAGCTCCGGCTTCACCCCATGGTTAATCACCTGAATAAAAGGATCGTTCATGTATATAAACCGAACATAAAATTCGAATGTCATTTTTACCTGGAAGAACCCAAACTCACGGCATGCTTCGGATACCCTCTCTTTGTCGTCTTCGTTGCCGGAGAAGAGGCTGTCTAGGTCTACAACTGGGATATTTATGGCGTCAGGTTCCGGCTGGTAGTTGACGGTGGTGGTTTGAGGGCGTTGAGACGGAGGCTTGATGTAACTGTCGGGGAAGGTGGTGAGGTTGCTCTCGGCTAGGGACTGAACTCGAACGATTGGTTCTGGCCACTTTTCGTCAAGACCATTCTTGTTCTTGTCCTGGTCGCCTATGTTGTCTATTTTGACTTCTTGTTCTTGTTCTTTGAGGTCGTTCTTGTTCTTGGTCTTCATCTCGACCTTGTCTGTGGTATCGGCCTTGATCGTTACCTCGCTATTGTTCTTGATCTCGTCTTCGTGGTTCATGGTTTCTCGTATGGCTTAGTAATGTTGATTGCTATTGTTCCTCTACTTGTTCATGAGAAGTTGTCAAGTGTTGTTATCTATATATATAGTGTGTTTTAGAGACAGAAAGATTTTAATTTTTAATTAATTGTGGTTTGTGAATATTAATTAGCCCTATATAATAGTTTATCTTTCTTTTTAGAAAGTAACTGAAGAAACCGTAACCGATGAGATGAGGGAATCCGGAAACGACTTCATACGATTGAAGCCATGTGTTTGTTAACTTATGAAACGTGTATAAAATGGTATTAAATGTATTTTACTACGTGGTATGAAAGATCGAAATGATGTGGAACGATTCCAACTAATATACTACGTGGAGTTATTGGTTACTATAAAATTCAAGTCAAATCTGAAAACTATATGAAACATTTCCAATCGAAATTTTTTGCTTGCTTTCAAATAAATTTAGATATGTGGAGTTCTTTGTTTGGTTAAACTTTGTGAAACTTCGTAGAAATGTTACAATTGAAAAAATATTTACCAGTTTACAGTTTTTCTTTTGACATCTCCTAATAATTAATCTCTATAATATATATTAAGATCAGTAAAAAAAAAATCTGAGAATGTTAGGGTAGCTTAACTACAACTACGTACTTAACCTTGAAATATTCTAATGACTTTTATATACAAAATAAAGAATATGACTTCAACATTTTGAAAAGAATATTGACCTTTAACTGTCTTATCTCAGGGATTGATCTAATAAATATTTTACAATGTGTAAAGTGGTTTTTTCACTTACTTCGGACATCAAAGTGTTCTTAATAGTTCAAAATGATATATTACGCAAAGAAGAGGAATGCTCTTTGGAATTGTAAAATTAAAGTCAATAATATGATTCTTTGTTTTTTTTGAACTAAAATTAAAGTGTATGGTTCTTGTAAGAAGAGTAACCAATGGTTGTAATTATCCATTTCCTGTAATGCTATTTCGTTTCTCTTCAAGTAATACAAAAGTTGTTAATCAAAAAAAAAAGTAATACAAAAGTAAAAAAAAATATAGGCAGAGTAGTACCTAAAGTGTAGCACTCTTTCCATGTGCTAAATGAATTCGTTTATCATGTGTGAATGGACGGTGACTTTTATTCTGTTTTAGAAACGGACGGTGACTATCCATCCATCTATATTTATGCACCTATGCGATGATAATTATTGGATTTATGACAAATTTTACATTGAAAACAAAAATCAAGAATGTAAATGATGATTATATTTCTCTCATACAGAAGCGAAGAAGGCGCCCACGGAATATTTAGTACGCTTGTTGTATTCAACATATCAATCAAACTTTTTCGTTTATTATTTTTAGCAATCATATTCTTTTAAAAAATAATTTGATTTATCAAGATTACTTGTTAGATAATTTACGTAGTGCTTTAAATCTTTATGATATTTTGATAAATGGCCGGTTGAGGTTGACCATGCTTCCTAAATAGAAGGCGACTTCCCAATAATGGAAACATGGTTCATTGAATTTGGAAGGCACATGTATATACTAACTAACTACATATTGTAACAAAGACTAATCCCACTTTTTCGATTTATCTAATCAACTAAATCTAGTGAGGTTAACTATTATTTTGTTAGTCACTTTATCATGTTTCAGGAAGTTGCTCAACTTCTTATGTCTTTTTGGCCATTTGAACAAATTCTCCCGTAAACTATTAGGCTATTTAAACATGAAGAAAATTAAGATAAACATTCTTCAATAATAATTACTGAAGCTAGCATTTAAAAAAGTATAAATCAAAACTGAAAATGTTTGGTTTTTAATCATTCAAATACAAATATACATAAACCTTGAAGAAGGTTGAGTCTAAGAGAATGCTATGTATCTTTAAGTACCGAAAACAAATTCGTTGTTCATACTCAGAGAGTTATCTCTGGTGGTAACAGTAACACAATAAATTGACATTTAGTAAGCAAAAAATCAGCTGGTCAGAAATAGAAGAATTTCATAGCTTTTCTCTCTCTGCCTGCTTCATGTCAATCTGCTCATACCTTGATTTCTCCATAGAGATTCGGATCTGCTTGATAGTATACAACATCTCCTTCGTCGCTCACATAATGATCTTCTTTGATACTTTTTGCGATAATTCCCAGCAAGTGTAATGGCAAAGGTCCAGACTTATCGGGCTCCCTGTAATACTTCCCTAAAACTGGTTTAGCTGCTTCTGTCTGCAAAAGAGAAAACAGCAAGCACAAATTTTAAGCTTTTTGTAGTATGGACACCCCCCCCAAAAAACACACTCTTTGAGTCTTTTTTGTTTCAGTTACTTACTGCTTCCACTAGATGATAATGTGGGATCTGCGGGAAAAGATGATGTATCACATGAGTTCCTATGTCGTGATGGATGTTATTTATCACTCCGTAGTCACGATCCAATGTTGTAAGTCCTCCTCTCAAGTAACTCCATTCCTGTTTCCGGAGAATCATGAGATTTTAAGCAACAGTGGCTTTAAACCTTAAGAGTGAGAGAGAGCATTGTAGCAAAAGAACAGTGAAAGCATTTTTTTACCTTCCCACGGTACCAAGGGAGCTTATCTTCATGACCATGGTGATGCAAGTAAGTCACAAAGTCCAACCACATTACATTTATCTGATTTTTGACATAAATAAAACATTCGGGGTAAGGCAGAGGAAACAAATAATAATAAGCAAATTGCTTAGTCTGCAACAGAGGGAGTAACAACGGTGCGTTACCCAGTAAGGAATTGCATAGAGTTTGAGCATTTGCATTGGACCCATAACGAAGTTGAGACAGACAAGCAGAGCGGCCATTGCAGTCCAACAAGCAGTAGAAGTGAGGACATCTTTTTTCTCTTTAGGGAGGAACAAGTCGCTGTCTGGATGGTAATGAGAACCTTTTTTCCCTGGACTTCGAGCCCACTGAATCAGATGAAGCAAACATGAGCTTTCTTTTTCATTTGATGTGTCATCTTAAGTTATTACACAAGTAGTAGCAAACAGACGAGTTTCTTTACCAAGTAGAAAGGGTACGCGAGCATCACTAGAGGCAGTGTAAACCTAAAGAATCGAGTCGGTTTGTCCAAACTCTTGTAGATTTTCTCAGACATCTGCAGTTACAGAAACAGTATTAAACACCAAGAAACACCACAGGGATGAAAGAAGATAAACCAAAAAAGCCAAGTCAACTTACAGGATGCCAAGATTCGTCGTTCTCAACATGTCCATGGTTCTGGTGGTGAGTTCTGTGGCTGATTCTCCTACACAGAACAATCAAAGTCATATACTTTTACATGAAAAAAGATGAGGATTTTGTTTTAGAGAATGCTTTGAAATGAAAAACTAACCAGCCATGGTAAGGGACCAGAATTGAGGAATGAAGAAGATGACCCACCACACTATTCAACCTCGGATCATTTGAGAAGCTACCATGTCCACTGAAATCAACAAAGTAACAAAATTTGTTTTTTCACGATTAGAAACAGATTAAGAACATCTGCAAAGCCAATAACTAGATGCCAATTGGGCAGGTTGGTCTACAAGCAACATGACGATGATGACAATGACCGTTTGATGTTAATACCTCAGAATCCAAAAATGTGTAAGAGAGAGCTATAGTAGTAGTCAAGAGATAAGGGATAAAGATGTAAAACAAAGGTTTTGTTCAATTGGTTCCACATAAAAAGTGGGAATCATCCAAAGTTGACCAAATCAAAGTATAAACAGTGATAAATCAATCAATTTGGGGGAAAACAGACAAAAATTAGGGCTTTTGTCATGATCATTACCAGTCGTGGCCAAGAACAAAGAGAGCCCAGAACATGGTCCCTTGAGCGAGCCAATAGAGAGGCCAGACAAGCCAATTGTTGAGGTAAGCAGCTCCAGCAGCCAATGCGAAGACGATGGCAACGTCTCTGACGACGTAACTCATGGACTTCCATGGATTCTTAACCCAGCAATGCTTAGGTATGGCTGCTCTGATATCCGCCAAATTGAACGGAGGAGGCGCACCTGGGTCGAATCTCTGCTCCTCCTCGATCGGAGACTCGACTTTTAACGGTGTGCTCACGTTCAACGCCCAATTCCTCAACCCATCTCGAGAATTCAGACGGAGAGCGAGAGAAGAGGAGGATGTGGTGGAAGAAGGAGATGGTCTGAGCTTGAAGATGGGTTTAGAGAGGAAACTGGATCTGGGTGTGGTGTAGATTCTGGGGAGAGGTCTTATGCCACATTCTGATAAGACCAAGTTCGCCATTGTTAGAGCTCTCTCCCCAGACAAGAGCAAAAGACTCTCTCTTTTTTTCTGCTCTGTGTTATTAAATGAGAGGTTAATAAGGAAAGAGAGAAACAGAGAGAGTAAGGAAGAGATAATGTAATGAGAAAGAGAGAGAAAAAAAAGATGTGCTTCTTGTTGCTTGTCGTCTCCCAGTTTCTCTCTCTTTTCTCTCTGGTTCACACAGTGGTTTCCTTTCTGAGGTCGTGTGATTAAGATTTGCATATATATATATATGTATGTGTAAGAAAAGTCGGTTTGTGGAAAATATGCAAAAAAGTACAAGTAGAAGCAGGATTAAAAAGTTAATGCTGAGGTAAAAGGAGATTTTCGTGTGGGAAATTTTTGACCCTAATTTTTTCAACACGTATTTAGTTGATATATGATCTTATTTTAGAGATAAAGTGAAAGAAAGAAAAACAGTGAGGCATATGTTTCATGACCCTTTCTTATTAAGGTAGCATAAAAAAAAATATATATATATATAATAAATAAATAATTCGTAGAATTGATGCACGTTATTTAAATGATTCTAAACATAGTTAGACAAAAAGGTAAGAAGGATTCGGCGAAGAAACCTTATTTTTCTGTAGAATTTGAGTCAAATACGTTTCAGTGTTTCATATTTGGGACATTGCATAATTCCAAGTCAGAAGTCTAGTGACTTAGTTAAGTAAATAGAACTGATTCTAGTGGATAATTGATAAAAGCTTTTTGGGCCTTTTTTCCTACAAATGTATAAACTGGGTCTTAAAAGCTTTCTGGGCCTTTTTTCTACAAATGTATGAACTGGGTCTTATGTAGAAGAAAAAAGCGATAAAATTATCCACCAAACTGGATCTTATTATGTACTTGTCAATTATCGATTATAAAGTGATAACGTGTTACACACATCATCGAAAAGTTTATACATTCAAAAGTTTATACATTCAAGATTTCGATTTAAGTAACATCAGCATCAAGAAGAATTCCAAGAATCAGATTCTCTTACAATGAAAATCATTGAAGAACAAAAAAAAAAACAATTCTTAAATTCATGTTTGAAAACCGGATACAAAGCTTCAAGATAATTCGGATTTTAGACTAGAAAAACATATTTTCCTTTAGATGAGACCACGACCTTTGCATCTCCCTTAGTTCAGGCCACATCTTTTTCTTTAAACCCTCCTCCATTTCCGAATTGGTCCACAACCATCCCTAACACTGTGAAGAAAAAAACACACAGAGATGATGAAGATGAAATGGTCGAAATGTCTCGTTCAATTGATTTTATTTATACCTGTTGACGCTTCTTCTCAAGTTCCGATACATAGGAATGTTTATCTCCCATTACAAGATAACCTTAGATACAAATTACGTCAGCTAAACAACATAATCATTGAAACAGCGGAATTACTAGAATCACTTTGTTACTTTTTCATATTTTATCATTCCTTGTGATCCAAGCTACATGCCATTTCAAACCAATTATTTCCATCATTGATCGAATCAAGCTTCAACATTCTCCCAATCTTTTCCCTCGCGAATAAACATTCCTATGATCAAGCTTCAATTCCACTCCTTACCTTACCCCTGCATATTTTCATCACTCCGGTTTAGTTCGGTTTACCTCCTCCCGGTTTTCTATCTGTTGATTGGCTATATTACCTAGGATGCGACGGTTGTGTGGGTTAATCTATACGGAGAATGATGAATAGAATAAGTGAAGCAGGTGACTTTATCCATCAGTTCCGAATGACAGAATATGCTCCAGCTATCGAGTTTTTATAATTCAAGATTTTAAAGTTATTAAAATCATCATCACTCTCCTTGTCGTATTTCTTTCTGTAAGCCTATCTTCTCGAAACATTTTCTTGATGTGAAAAACATATCAACGAAAAATTGACAATATTAAAACAATTCAGTGTAAACCTTATTTTTGTAAAATTGTAAGATCCCAAACTAATGTTACTAACCAGTCCCCTGACTGTTTAGATGATTTGATTTTTATATATTAATTAAGTAAACGAATCTTAAAAGAAGGAAAATAAGTCTGAGAAAAGGGGGAGAGTGCAACTGTAGTCTGGATTATTTTACAACTCCCACAAAGTAAGGGACATTTTACAATAATAATGCAAAAGGTAGGGAATATTTTGGACAACTAACCAAAACTTTATAAGGTAATATTTTTATATATGCGCATGCATATAACTATATCACAAACTCAATTATCCTAACATCATGACACATACCAAAAGCTTGTTTTAATTAGTTTTTTTTATCAGATGGTTTACTGTCTGAGCAAACCATGGTATAAAGATTTTATATTTTACGATCTTAATCAATCTAGAAAATTAGGCTAACACAGTACCACACGTGTGAGTAAAGCCTTATTTATTCCATGCGTACACGCAAGTTACTTGCATTATCATAAGTTCTGCAGTATATTCATATAAGTCGTCTCTCTACAACAAAGTCACATCGGTATTTAAATGGCTTCCTCTTCGGCTCGCCTCAACCACCACCAACTTCCGAATATCCACGGTGGAGGAGCCACGGCGGCGCCTCCGCCAACTCCGTCATGTACACATCCCAACACCACCACTAAATCGGAGACAGCAGCAGATGCTCTCTCCCACCTCTTCCACCGTCTTACCCCTAAGCTTTCACTCCCCAACCGCCGCTCATCCGCCGCCCCATCTCTGCCGACAGTATCTTTCTCCGCCGGAAGCTGTGATGATATTATATCCGCTGCTACTGAGTTCGGCTATTTCAACCTTTCTAATGATGACTCGGATACAATCATCCCTTCTGGACTCGCTGAAGCGGCCGAGTCTGAGTCGCTCTCGCTCTTAGAGCTCAGTGAAGAGAAAAAGGAATCGTCGTTTCCAAAAAACTGGCCGCTTGGCTACGAATCCGATGCTGAAACGCCATCGTTTTGCTTAGACGCAGACTGTTCAACCGAGTCGAGCGAGTTAAAGGTGAATTCGTTGCGCGAGTTCACTCGGAGTCTGGAGAAAGTTGGACTGAAGACGGTAGAGATGCTGGCGAGCGCACTCGGGTTCGAGAACCCGTTTGGAAATGACTCGGCCCGGTTTAGTACTCTGATGTGGCTTAACCGAGGTATTCCCGATGATAAACCGGCGATAACCAACGGTTTTTATCCATTTGTTGTCTGTTTACAGTATCAGATAAGGGAACAGAAGTATTGTTTGCTGTCCGAGTCAGGCTGGGTGTCCGTATCTCCCCGAGTTGACTCGATTCTTGTGACGCTTGGTGACATTGCTCAGGTTAGTTATCTTCTTCTTTTTTAAACAAAGGTTTAGGTTAGTTTATCTTTTTAACTGTTCAAATATCGCATTATCACCTTTGTGATATGATGAATCTTTCTTCCACGTTGGCGTTTTTCTCGCTACTTCGAAATGTCAACCTTATTGTTACATCATAATACACATGTCCTTTTCAAGATAAATGTGTTTTTTTCAGACGCTTTAAAGAGATAGAGAGAGATAGAACTAAATTTTCGTTTTCCAAAAATTATTGTTGATAACAAGAAAAGTTGTGGAGCAGGAGCGGGTAAATTTGATTTGGGAATGTGTTTTCATTTGATGACATTGGGAAAAGACATGTATTTCGTGTATTGCATAAGTAATTGTAATATGGAATTTAACAATTTCTTCCTGATTAAAACTTGTACGATATTCCTTACTAGTATTAAAAATGAAACAGTGAAAAGGAGAATTTTTACTTCTAAGCTAGTATAAAACCTCACTGTTGGTGACTGAACCGGTTCGGATCCCAGAAGACTATGAGTCTTAAAGTCCGAAGCTTTCTATAATATAGTATAGTCTTTTATATTTGACTGAGCATCTACACAAAAACTAATATTTTTGCAGGTTTGGAGCAATGGAGAGCTCAAAAGAGTGAGATATCGACCGGTGGTGTGCTCGGGACAACTTGATGGTCCAAGGAAATGTGTAACAATGACATTGATGCTTACACTTCCCATGGACACCAAGGTCTCTCCATTGAAAGATATCGTGAGTGACGTCCATAAAGAAGAAGAGTATGCAGAGGATGATGAAGAGGGAGAAGAAGGAGGAGCAAGAAGTGATGAGAAAAAGGCATTTAGGTCTTTTTTTTTTGAAGATTACGCATGGAGAGTGTACCATGAACGTCTCTTCTTCAAGGATCCACTTGACAGATACAAAATCAAGTCTTAGGAAGATTTAAAAACTTATCTTCAATTTGCTTGTTTCCTGGATTGATTTGGTATTATGGTCGAATCTTGTTGTTAATTTTATTTTTTCATACAATCGTCTGAATTTTTTTATATAGATTTTTATCGCGTTGGCATTTTTATTGGTTTTTTTTTTTTAAGTTCAGTTTGGAGTATGTTCCGTTTTGATAGTTAATTTGATAATAAAAGATTGAAACTACTCTCTACTCTTAAGTCCTGATGTTATTCATGTAATCTGTTGAATTAATGCAAATGGTGTATTACTCTCAAAATCCAACTTTTTGGTTACATATGACTCGATCATATTCAAGCCAGAGTCTATGATTTTATATATACAGAATAATCTCTTTCAGTATACTAGAGTCGTAGAAAAACTTGACTTGCTTTATTTGTAGGAAACATGGGTCTTTTGCAACTATCTCGGCTTGTTGTGAATCAAAAACAAGAAGAATCTCTTTAAAAATCTACTTGGCAGAGTGGAAAGTTAGAGTGCAATGAAGAACTTGGAGACTTTGTCAAAGTAAGCTTAAAATTGAGAAGTGTCTCATATATATATCTGCTTTTTAGTATGTTTGTAATGAATAATCTTTTCTGTTCCAGACTGTGGATAATGGACCTTGCTATGAAAGTATACATCAAAGCTAGAGCTACTCCAAAAACGGTCGTAGCAGCAATAAATATTGATATCTTCATGGACTCTGGTTTGATGCTTCTTGAGGATGGCTTAAGGTATTTCGAGTATTTTTTTTTCCATATACATAAATTTGGTAATCGTGTATAATTATCATATATATTCGGTCGGCCATTGTATTTGCTCAAAATAACGCGCATAAAAAACTCCCAAAGGCAGCTTCGTGATAAAACCCGACCAATTGATTGACTCGGATCGAACTCGACCCGATCCGACCCGTTAATTTGCAAAAAAAGCCCATCGTACAGCTCAGGCACGTCGTCTCCTTTGTTTCTCCCCTTATATTCGACGAGTGACTCCGATTGGATCGCTGTTCGTAATTTCTCACTACCTAAAGAAACAAAAAAGCATCATCCCTCTCTCTCTCTCTCTCTCCTTCATCACCTTTCTCCTTCACTTGCCTCAGATCTGGCAGCGATCTCAAATCTTCTTCAGTTTCTCTCGCATCGCTCCTCTCCCTCCTGGTTTTGGATCTGATTCTGGCCCCGGATTCTCTTGCCGCGATCTGAGGTCAAACATGGCGGCAGCAAACGCCCCCATCACGATGAAGGAGGTCCTAACGGTGAGTTCTCCGTCTTCCGTCTCTATTTTTAGAAATATATGTATATCTCCTGGAATCGAGCTTAATTCTGGGCGATTAAGATGTTTCTGTAGTCGCAGTCTCCGATTTATAACGATTTGGTTCTCCTCAGACTGTTCTATGATTGATTCCAGTTTCATACTGTTTTGAATTTTGCTCGATCGTTGCGGTATCAGTCAATTTTTCGGGATGAATAAATAGTTTGTGTAATGCATGCCTCTGATGAGATTTCCCTACATACGCTCAGATCTGTGAATATTTCGAACCCGGATTTCAAATCTCTGTGTAGTCCAATGATTTACTCGGATCTCGTAAATAAGTAACTGAACTATGCGATTTGAATTTTTTCAGCTTCCGAGCATTGGGATCAATCAGCAATTCATCACGTTTACAAATGTTACTATGGAGTCTGACAAGTACATTTGTGTTCGAGAGACGGCGCCGCAGAACAGCGTTGTAATTATAGATATGAATATGCCGATGCAGCCTCTAAGGAGACCCATCACTGCAGATTCTGCTCTTATGAACCCAAACTCGAGGATCCTTGCCTTAAAAGGTATTCGACTGTTTCCTTTGATTAATAAATCGTTCGTCAAGCTTGTCAGTTGCAATATCTAGAATAGTTTCCTTTTGATTTTTTTTTTCTTTCTTGAAACCATCATTGATAACTCCTATTATACTCAATCAGTATGGAGAAGTCACTACACTCATATGTTTCGGTCCTATGCTCTTGTTCTGTCCTGAGCTAAGATAGTATGCTCAACGCAAACATCAGCGTAGAGTTCTATGTTTTCTGACGTGTGTTATTTTCTCATGGTTGTGTTGTGTCTCAAGCCTAGTGTAGTTGAGTTATGTAGTGGATGTTTGACATTGACTATTACTTACTTCTTCCTTTGATCCTTTGTTTCTCACTTTTTTCCTTAATTTGTATATAGCTCAAGTTCCAGGAACTACTCAGGATCATCTACAGATATTTAACATCGAAGCAAAAGCAAAGTTGAAATCACATCAGATGCCTGAGCAGGTGAATATTGAAACAAATTCGTTCTAACTCGATTATCTTCATGTTGTATACTTTACTCAGACTCTGATTTTGATGGTTTGAATCTCATTTTTGGATACTAACCCATGTTTTATAGGTTTCTTTTTGGAAATGGATTACACCAAAGATGTTGGGGCTGGTCACACAAACTTCCGTGTATCATTGGTCAATTGAAGGTTTTATATCTTTAACTTACAGTCATCTTCTTCATATTATGTATATGTTGTTTCTCAGTTTGGTCCGATATTTCCAGGTGATTCTGAGCCAGTTAAGATGTTTGATAGAACGGCCAATCTGGCAAACAATCAAATTATAAACTATAAATGCTCTCCTAACGAGAAGTGGTTGGTATTGATTGGAATTGCCCCTGGCTCTCCCGAGGTAGGTTTACTGCGCCACATATTATTGGGTTGAATGAAGACATTATAAACGGCAATCATTGTATATAATCTTGACTGCATCTTTTGTTGACAAACTTCTGTAGAGACCACAATTGGTAAAAGGGAATATGCAGCTTTTCTCTGTAGATCAACAGCGGAGCCAGGCCCTTGAAGCACATGCTGCTTCATTTGCTCAGTTTAAGGTAAACTATGTGGTTCTTTAGTTAGTTCATGTCGTGGTCTGATCTTGAACCGTAGTATAACAAGCAACATTCTTAAATATAGGTCCCTGGGAATGAGAATCCATCTATTCTTATATCCTTTGCAAGCAAGAGCTTTAATGCTGGACAGATAACGTCAAAGTTGCATGTCATTGAGCTTGGTGCCCAACCAGGTTAGCTTTCTCAACTGCTCGATATTTTCATGGTTATTTAGCGTCTTTTGTTACACCTTTAGTTGGTAATCATCTGATATCTAAAGGTGGGAAAATTTCTTTTGCAGGGAAACCATCATTTACAAAGAAGCAGGCAGATCTTTTTTTCCCCCCAGATTTTGCTGACGATTTTCCTGTAGCTATGCAGGTTTGTAGTTGTATTAGAAGTTCAATTAACTTCAGTAAGTTTCTTGTGAAAATTTCATGACATCATTTTCTCTTTTTTCCCGACAGGTCTCTCACAAATTTAACTTGATATATGTCATCACCAAGCTTGGCCTGTTGTTTGTATACGATTTAGAGACAGCTTCTGCTATCTACAGAAATCGGATAAGTCCAGACCCAATTTTCTTGACTTCTGAAGCTTCCTCAGTTGGGGGATTCTATGCCATTAATAGGCGAGGACAAGTTCTTTTGGCTACAGTAAATGAGGCTACTATAATACCTTTTATTAGCGGTCAAGTATGTTTAGCCTTTTTGTTTCTTCTGTTTTTCTTGATACAATTTGGCTATTTCATCATGACATGTTAAGAACTCTATGCTTTTGTATCGCAGTTGAACAATTTGGAACTTGCTGTCAATCTGGCTAAAAGAGGAAACCTCCCTGGTGCAGAAAATCTGGTATGTGATGGTTACCTTGGTTTAGATGTGTGGATCTGTTCTCTTGCTGAATTAATTATATTAGACAAATGCCGGCTTTAGGAAAAAGAGAGACATTCGTTGATGTGAAGTTGCTCATATTCAGTTTAATTGTTGCAGGTTGTCCAGCGGTTCCAAGAGTTATTTGCTCAAACAAAGTACAAGGAGGCTGCTGAGCTCGCTGCTGAATCTCCTCAGGGGATTCTACGGACACCTGATACGGTGGCTAAATTCCAGGTATGTGTTCCATATTCAAGCAAGTAATCTTCTGTAAACATGCTATTAGCAAGTAATCTACTATTAGCTGTAGGTATCACTAATTAGCACTATTCAATTTTGCAGAGTGTTCCTGTACAAGCAGGGCAAACTCCTCCATTGTTACAGTATTTTGGGACCCTTCTGACTAGAGGGAAGCTCAATTCATATGAGTCTTTGGAACTATCTCGGCTTGTTGTGAATCAAAACAAGAAGAACCTCTTGGAAAACTGGTTGGCAGAGGATAAGTTAGAATGCAGTGAAGAACTTGGAGACCTTGTCAAGGTAATCTTAAAATTAACTGTTGTCCTTTTATGTCTCATTTAGCATGTTGTAACGATGACCTTATCTGTTCCATTCCAGACTGTGGATAATGACCTTGCTCTGAAAATATACATCAAAGCTCGAGCTACTCCAAAAGTTGTTGCAGCTTTTGCAGAGCGAAGGGAGTTTGACAAAATACTGATATACTCAAAGCAGGTAAACAATAAGTTTAAAAGTATTCCCCTCCCTGTTATCGTTACCAGGAACTTCATTGTGCTAAAAAGTTACCATGGTTTCATATTATGACTTTAGGTTGGGTACACACCTGATTACATGTTTCTTCTGCAAACCATACTCCGTACGGATCCTCAGGTTAGTGTGGTGCTTTTTTGATACTTGCAAGTTGCAACATATTAAAGTTTGGAAAGACTGGTTTACTGAATGCTTGCTGCACGTATTTGTTTGCAACATATTAGAGTCATGAATCGATTACTTCTTATTGTTTAATCTTAACCTGATCTTGTTTATAATTCAGGGAGCAGTAAATTTTGCTTTAATGATGTCCCAAATGGAAGGAGGTTGTCCAGTTGACTACAACACTATCACTGATCTTTTCCTTCAGGTAGGTGAACAATTCTGAATTAGTGTCTACAACAATATTCGTAGACCTGTTATGCTTCTATACGCTGAAACCTATGC